TGGAAAATTTGATATTCACAGGACAGATTGAAGGCAAGAGGGACAGACAAAACGACGCATAACCCACCTAGCGAGTTACAATGGACAGGAAATTGTGGAGAGTCACGATCTCGTTTATGTTCTATATATATATATATATATATATATATATATATATATATATATATATATATATATATATATATATATATATATCGTAAAGGTAATAAATCCATTGGTATATAACCGAAGTAGATCTTAGTAAGCTCAAATATTAAACCTATGCACAAAAAGAGCTCAATGAATTTATTAGAACAACAAAATCTAAAATTACTTCATATGGGGGTACTTCTCGTTGATCGTTGTGTAATATATATATATATATATATATTTTCATGAAACTCTCACATAGATATCTGCTCATGGCGTATCAAATGTAAAAAAATGACGTCACACATTATGAAATGGTCAAAGTCCGACAATTATTTTAAGAAATTTTTATGTTTATACATTCTTTTTATATATTTAAGTAAATGCTCTGTTTATAATAAACAGTATTAAACAAAACAACATTATATATATATAATATATATATATATATATATATATATATATATATATATATCCTAATTCTCCATGTATAATACGCCTTCATCCATAACACGCACCCCTAAAATTGTACTGAAATTGTGAGAAAATGCTTCTACTCACGCATAATATGCACCCCTTTGTTTGTAATCAAACCATATAAATTTACCTCTCCAATTTCATTACGGCCAGCGTTTCCTACTTTTATTGAAAAAAAATGGTTTAAACATAAAATAATATTATTCTAATTTAGTTTTATGATAATTGTTATTTTATTTTATATTTGTAAGTATTGGTAGGTACATATGATTGTATTTGACATCCTTATGGGGTCGCAATCACCGAATGTTAGTGTCAAATTGTCGTATGTTTGTGGTGCGTAGTCATTTCGCAACTGAAAACGACGATTTAAATGGCAATTTTATAAAGACCTTTTTTGCAATACGCACCCCTAATTTTGCAAATTATTTTTTTAGAAAAAATCGTATTATACATGGGGGATTACAATATATAGATTTGAAAATGACGAGACGCATTCTTTTAAAGGGACAGTTTTCGTCCAACACTTCTACAGAAAGATTCGCTGGAATGACGATAATCAAAACAGCGAAACTGAAAAAGGTTGACATGTTGGGTGGTGTAAATAAGGAGCCACGACTAAAATAAATTTATTATTAAAAACAAACAAATCGATGTAAATAAGCTAATAAGTGAGTATAAAATATTTTTAAAAAAATTACTTACGACCTATCCATGAGACACAGAGAACGAAGAAAGTTCTTCTTCTGCCTGTACAAAGTTGTTCGATGAAGCTTGATATAAACAACTAAAAAAACCGTAAATGTTTAAACGACTGAGCCGTGTGGAGCACCCTAAACACCCCGTCAACATGTTTTGAAGCGCAACCCGGGTTATTAATCAAATGAAGTCCAATCTCTGACTCACAAACAGACTGAATCAATGAATACCATTTACCGCTCAACTTCCACTGAGTTTAGGATGTGGCCCAAGGTCAGTTGTTTAACATGGGGAACCCGAACGGAAACGCTCGGGCCAATGGTCAAAATTTGTCCAGCCCCCGCTTTCGCGGGTTCGGGCACAAAACTGGTCTTAGCTGGTCATTGCATTGCAGAACAAAAGGCCGAGTGACTGAGTCAAGCGATCCTGTCTTATATAGGTAGCCATGTGTTGTCCAATCCGGGTCTCCAACCGCAAGTCGGTTCACCTCAATATATATATTTCATGTCAATATTATATATCTCTTCTCTAAGATAGTAAAATGATAATTAAGTTCAATTTTTTACAATAATTTATTATGTAATGGTTGAAAATTCAACAGCAATATCGAGGTACGTTTCCCCTTGCACAGATTGGAGTTTTTTTTTTTTTTTTTTTTAACTTAATAAGATATTCATATAAGTAAATTTAGTTGTTTTTTTTTTTTTTTTGCAGTTTTCAAAAATATTTTCATATTTCCGAAGTATTGGATTAATTGTAAAGTTACTTTGAATAAAATAGAATTTTTTAATTCTACCAATAACTTTACGAACCGACTCCTAAGAGGATGCTTCCTTGATTACTACAGACTTAATATGTTCAAGTCTAGGGTCAATAACTCTAGTGACTCTTGAGCCTTGTACAGGGTGAACATCATTGTCAAAAAACAAACAAATAAAAAAAAAAAAACACAAGATATCCCTAGCCATGATCAGCAGAACGAGAACAATCTACCCACATAGATTAAATAAAGGGTTCATTTCGAAATTCTTTAAAAGTTACCCGGATTGACAATCGTCTAAAGAAGGTCGGAGAGCATAATGGCCAAAATGTTCTGATTCTGACACTATGATGGGACAAACACGTAGAGGGCATGGTGGAGGTGAGAGATCTTATCCTGGTCTCAAGTCTTTTATGACCAGCGATAAAGTCGGCGAGGTAAGGTTTTTAAAGCGGTTAACGACTTGATCAAAAGGGAATAAGTGAAAACCTTTGGGATCAGACGACAACAAAGCGAACATTGATGATTTTCTGTTTCTGGTGTATGTTAATAGTCGCAGTTGAGATTGCGGAGGCCAGTTTTCGTCTGCCAACGCATTGCTCACAAAGCCTTGACGGAAACATCTAAATATATTGAAAACCGGATTCGAGTTTTCATTTCTTTCCGCGGCGTTTGTTCTCATCTTTAGTTTCTTTGTTAGCATGTAGCGGGCCTTTCCCAGGTTTAGTGCACAATAATGCGAACAAGAATGAGGACACGCCGATCCTTCAGTATCTGTCTATATTTCTGAGATGAGGTATTATGTACACTATTTACATTATTCAGACTATTGTCCTCATCTTTGCTGCCATATTTATTACAACATTTCGGCCGTTGTACACTCCGGCCTTCTTCAGGTGGTTGGAATGTCGAACTGAACCCTTTATTTCGCTCACAGGGATATACTGTTCTACTTCCACGTGCCATGTCTAATGGATGTCAGTTATCAGTTATCTCCTGTTAATTCCCCTCTCCAAGTTCTCCACTGCCTTAACCAGGTATTGAACTCACACTCTTTGGGTCCTTTTAACGCCTTTATCCACTGTGCTATGTGTCCTTGAGGACACACGGCACAGTGGATAAAGGCGTTAGTTAGATCCAGTGACAGGACCCAAAGAATGTGAGTTCAATACCCGGTTAAGGCGGTGGATAATTTGGAGAGGGGAATTAACAGGAGATAACTGATAACTGACATCCATTAGACATGGCACGTGGAACTAGAACAGTCTACCCTAGTGACTGAAATAAAGGGTTCAGTTCGACATTCCAACCACCTGAAGAAGGCCGGAACGTTTTAATAAATATGGCGACAAGGATCAGGACAATAGTCCGAGTAATGTAAATAGAGGCCATGCCGAGTTGGTAATCATTAGCCGGTCGGTGGACAACGGGGCGAAGGCTCTGTTGTATCTTTACAGGAATGAAAAGACCTATCTAGGTGTGTTCAAGCGTAAACTACTGCCATTCAGACGCTCACTAACGTATTAGCGAAATTGGATATCTCAGCTTGGCAATACATCTTATCACGTTAACCTATTAAGATGGCTTTTGGTAGCGTCACACTTCGGCTATAAAAGCGATTTCCCTGATGAACAAAGTGAGATTGTTGTCGAGTGGCGCAATTTTTCTTTTAGTAGGTCTTCTCAATTTAGGCCGCTTGTTATAATTCTGTGCGTTCCTCCCTTCACACTTCGTTGGCCTAGCCATTGCCCCAGACAAATAATAAACCGTTCCGTTTTGATTGCGAGGAAGGACAGAAGAAAGAGATATAGGAGGGTCGTTGTCTGATTTTATCGAGAAAAAGACGGTATAAATAATAATAATAACACAGCCCACACCTTACGAAGGGCTTTATCTATGTAAAATATGTTTTTTTTTTTTTTTTTTTTTGTCAGTGGAAAATGTCATTAGGTCTCTGAGAGGGACCCAGAAAGAAATGCGTATACACCAGAAATCAAAGGAAATAAATTGATAATAATAACCACCCAGACCCAGTTACGGAGATAGGACCTGTTACAATTTTATGGGACTACACAATACACACTGACAGAACAATCAAGGCCAACTGCCCAGATATTGCTATTAAAGACCACAACCAAAAATAGGGCCTCCTTATTGATATGGCAGTCCCTGCAGACTGCAATGTATCTTTGAAGATCTTCAAAAATCTATCAAAATACAAGGACCTTGAAATCGAAATCTCAAAAATGTGGCACATGGGAACATCAACAATCCCTGTTGTAGTTGGAGCTCTCGGATTGGTTGGAAAAGATTAAAGTAGACTAAGTGAGGGGATTCCTGGAAGTCCACGCCTTAAAGAAATGCAAAAAAAAATTGTTCCCACGAGTACAGCCCACACCTTACGAAGGGATTTATCTATGTAAAATATGTTTTTTTTTAATTGGTCAGTGGAAAATTGTCATGATGCCATTTCTAACCTTAGGTCTCTGGGCGGGAACCGGAACGAAATGTGTACACACGAGAAATAAAAGGAAATGAAATAATAATAATAATAATCTAAAGAAGTGATAATGCTGTCAGTTGCTTAACGACTGCCTCAGTGAAATGGAAAACCTTGTAAATTTTGAATCTTTTCATTTGTATCCTCTTACTTCTTTAAATAATGACCTGCATTCATAAGCATGCTTAACGATGCAATATGGGAATTTTCCACAGATATTCCATAGTCGTAGAAATCGAAAAAAAGAACTTATTCAATCATTGAATTAAAAATTATGACCCATCAAAAAATTAAAAACAGTGAAATTTTCACTAGTTAGATTTAAGTATTTAATGATCACCTTTTATTTAGTAATTATTAGTAATCTTAGCAACATTTAATAAGCTAGTCACACCGACCCGTGCTATTGAATTCGGTCCTAACTATTTGGGGCTTATGGTCACATCAAGTTAAAACACAGGTTCCCTTACGATCACTACAGTTAAGCAACTCCGGACCGGGTAGGTACATCGATGGATAACCGCTTGCGAATACAAGGTGCTGTAATCTCGACAATGGCTCAGAATTAATCGGAAAATCAAATTCCAATTCCACTTGGGTTCGTCATATTCACTTACGCGCAAATACTCATGAGAAAAGTATGAATCCACCTCTTATCCCCCAGCTATGGGTTAATTAGTAAAACTTTTATCAATAGACTATTATTATCTAAAACAATTCTTGAAATCTGAAAAGATATCCTGACTTAAAACAATGATTTAAAAGGCAAAATTTTCCCATAGATCCAATAATATAGTTGTATAAATAAAAATCGTAGATTAATAAGTCAAAGAATGACATCAAAGTCATCACCGAGGGACCAACAATTTGTTTCATCTTTGAACACAATCCTCAGACCATGTATGTTGTATTTTAGCTCAACTATTTATATATGCCGGTTAATGTGCATTATGGGTAGCAAGGTATATCGTATTAACCTGCAAAAGGGTTGTAGAAAATGAATGAATCAATAAAAAAGTAAATATTTTATTCTTTGATGTTGCGTGCCCTTTCAAGAATTGCTCAGTCATGGCTCTCTACAACTTCCTATCCTTCATAACTCTAATTAATGCTTGTATGCTTACTATCTGTCCCAGTCCTTGTTCTGTCAAACATTTACACAAGCTCATAAGGTAGCTTCCTTGCTGTTTCCATTTACTTTTCTAATATGTTCTATGAGTGTCAAACTCTCCAAGCACTCTTTCCTCATTATGTGTCCCAGAAATGTCAAATATTTTTCCTGATACTAAGTATAAGCGCCTTTTTTGTTCCCATTTTCTGTTAAACTTCCTCATTGTTCGCATGCTCCGGCTATGATATTCTGAGTATCCTGTAAAATCACATCTGTGTTATCTCAAGTCTGTTCTTTATCTACAAGGTAATTGTCCAGTATTTATTGCCATATAGGAGGATTAACAGTACGTAGCAATTCAGAAGTCTTTTTTTCCTTCTAACGATTATTCTTGTTTCTTAATACATTGCTTAGCTTTTGGAAGGGATCTTTCGTTATTCCAATGCCCATTCGGATTTCAGTGCACGTTTTCCGTCATCTATTAAAACACGCCCAGGAATGTTAGTGCATAATATAAATAAGTGGATAAAACGAACCCCCAGGGTTTCTAAAAAACGAAATCAGCGAACAGTATTTAAATTCCAGTCTCGCTTGGTGCATTCACTTTCGCATTAATACACTTGGGAAATGCTTGCATCATTTTGTCTTAATCCAACCCACTGCTAAGCTGTGGGTCAAATGCCAGGATAAGAAAAGGCTCTCTAGCTTTGCGTTGTAGCCGATCGAGAAGAAGGACAGATCTGTATTCTAAACCGCGGAGAAGAGAACGAATATCAGGATAGACAAGGCTCTCTAGAATTTGGGTGGGAACTGTCTAGAAGAAGGACAGATATGAATTCAAACCTGTGGAAGAGGGAACGAATAGCAGGATAGACAAGGCTCTCAACATTTGTGAGGTAACCGGTCTAGAAGAAGGACAGATCTAAATTCAAAGTAGTGAAGAGAACGTATAGCAGGATAGAGAACACTCTCTAGCATTGTAATGTAACCGGTCTAGAAGAAGGACAGATCTGGATTCCAAACCGTGGAGGGGGAATGAATAGCAGGATAGACAAGGATCTCTAGCATTGTGAGGTAACCGGTCTAGAAGAAGGACAGATCTGGATTCCAAACCGTGGAGGGGGAATGAATAGACAAGGATCTCTAGCACAAGGATCGGTCTAGAAGAAGGACAGATTGGATTCCAAACCGTGGAGGGGGAATGAAACAGGATAGACAAGGATCTCTAGCATTGTAAGGTAACCGGTCTAGAAGAAGGACAAATCTGGATTCCAAACCGTGGAGGGGGAATGAATAGCAGGATAGACAAGGATATCTAACTTTGTGAGGTAACTGGACTAGAAGAAGGATAGATCTGGATTCTAAAGCGTGGAGAGGGAATGAATAGCAGGATAGACAAGGCTCTCTTGCATTGTGAGGTTACCGGTCTAGAAGGAGGAAAGATCTGAATTCAAAACCGCGGATAAGAGAACGAGAAACAACTCCTCCATCTTTCCCAAATTTCCAAATAATAAAGATAAATGAATCTTTGGAGAGCAACGATTGCCTATACTCTGAAGTGACGTCGTATTTTAGAATATTTTCTTTAGCATCCATTCTACTCGCCAGTGAAGTGAAGTTGTTAAACTCTTACGCACACCATATTGTAAGAGACCTGAATGGTTATTTCTATTTTTGCCCTGATAAAATTGTGTTAAAGAGAGCTTTTCTAGGAATGTCAGCTGAACGCACCTTGCTAACTTAACTGACGCTTGCTGGGTGCTTGTTGTTTTTCAGCTTTTGAAAGTGGCGAATGTGTCTGCTCTTCGTTTTGTTTACCGTGCCATAATTTTAAGGCATGTTAGATCGTTTTGTAATATATATTTAATTTAATATAATCTTACTATTAACCTACATTCCAACATATACCTGTCAGAATTTACAAGAAATACTTAATGAGACGAGCAGATGGCCTATGGTATTGCATTACATTCTCCTCCCTTGACCGTATTGAAGGTAATGATAATAGCCGCTTCCCTATGAGAAAATATTCGGCATTCGTTGACCGAACAGCCAATGCTACACGTGTTACGCTTTTCTTCGCCTCCGGGCCAACTGGAATCAAAGTGTAGTATCTGTTCCCTACGTCTCTAATGATAATGGCAATATTAGCCTTTTCCTCATAAGGAAATACTCTGCATTTATTCACCCAAAAGCCAGTGCTAATAGAGTTGCTTTTTTTTCGCTTTCAAAGATTAGCACGTGTTCTCATCTCTAATCGTAATTGTAATATTAACCGTTTTCTTGTAAGGAAACAGTTGGAATTCGTTGACTAACAGCCAGTGCCAATCGAGTTACACTTTTCTTTAATCTTTAGCCATCGTGTTAGGCTCAAAGTGTAGTACCTGTTCTCCTCATCTCTAATGTTAATTAGGTTAACTGTTTCGTATTAAGGAAACATTCTGCATTTATTGATTGAACAGCCAGTGTGGATCGAGTGTCACTATTCTTCACCCTCACAGTGTAGTATCTGTTTTTCTTATCTCTAATGCTAATGGTAATATCAGATGTTTCCTTATAAGGAAACGTCCGGCAATCATTGACAGAGAAACCAATGAAAACTGTCGGTTGAAATTTATAAAATGTTTCTCTTAAAACGATTTTTCAGGAAAAAAAGGTTTCGGTGGTCCAGTAGCTGTTATTTCTTTTGTCAGTATTGACAGAGGCTTCTTTTCTAACTCTTTGTTTGAAGTATTGAAGAGCGTCAATATCTTGATTATGACAGTATTCTCTTCAAGATACATATACTTTTAGTTGTTTTTGTTGTTTGTTTTTTGTTGAAAGAACTCAATTGATTTGGTTTCTGTTATTTGTTTTTCTTTTTTAATTAGTATCACCTCATGCAAGTTAGTAAAGATACTAATACACTAGGGGTTACTGAGTGTGGAAGAATTACGAATAGAAAGATTACTAATGAGTTAGAAGATGAAAGAATAATCAGGAGGACAGTAGATTGACAGTGCATTTAAATTTTGTCTAACAGACACAGTAAACCAACCAAAGGTCGGATTCATTCGAACGTGTAAATCCATAGTAGGAGTTTCAGATGTGGCACAAGGCCGCAAATATGGAGCACCCAGTGAGGATCGAACTCTCTACTCAGTTCTAAGACACGCTTTCTCGCCATTAAACGACGTCGAAGTGCCCCATATACTAAGCTAGGCTTGGGGCACCTCGAGGCAGTGTAATGGTGTTATACCTGACGTACCTATTCTATTATTAATAGACTCTCCCACACATAATAAGTAGTAGCAGTAGTAGCGGTCGCCAGTTTGGCTCAGTGGTGTTTAGCGAGTCAGTCGATATCGGACATTGAAGTACCAACCATCACAACTAGATTGCTGCGTCATTATCTCTTATTTCCAAGTTCCTAACGTTTTGTACGTCGAACCTAATTTAGGACGACTTATTGAAATACAAGCCTCCACTGTGAAAACTACTCTACAACAAATGGCTAGCAAGCTTGTCTCGCTAGAGCAGTTATGACAGAGGAGTGAGTTCGATCCTCAATGGGTGCCCCTACATTCAACCTTGTGTCACATCTAAGCTAAGTTTGGAAAATCACTATACTAAGCTAGGCTTAGTATTGTCACAAAGTCACAAGCAAGGAGGGTCTAGTGATTATGAAACTAACTAGTTAGTAGTAATGGTCAACAAGACGAACTCGATAACAGTTAACCCACGCAAGGTGCCCCTTCTCCGCAAAATACGTGCTGCTTAAATGTGGCACAAGGCCGAATGTAGAGGCACTCACTGAGAATCGAACTCACTGTTACAGTTTTTTGTATATATATATATATATATATATATATATAACTAGTGAGTTAGTCAAAATGACTTAATTCCCTTTACAGTCTACCAATAGAAGGTTGACCAATCAGAAGCCGCAGAACATTGTATCCGTCGTGTATAAAGGCGGCCATCTTTGTTTACCCTACCGGAATGACCAGAGCCAACTTGTCAGGCGAACATGACAAACGGAAGAACTACGCTTTTCTGCGATATCCACTGCGAACCTGCACTACGCTTTCATACTGTCTCCGAAATATTCACTGCCAACCTCTGGATTCTATACTCGAAGACGACCGTCATGAATTTGTAACACTCACTACTCAGTTGTAGTTGATCTGGCGCGACAAATTTGCTCATCATTACACTACGCGGAAGTGCTCTAGTTCGAGTTTATACGTAGTGAAGTTATTTGCATGAGAGATGTAAAGACGGTTCAGTTCGGGTCTTTCCGCTTGTTTCCGACACCCGTCATGCACGCATGCTAATCTTGGCCTTTCTGCGTTACAAAAATCAATCCTGGCATTTAATCGTTTGGTCAGAGTTTAGGGAGTGGGCTGTGGCCGAGAACCTTTTAGCCTCCACTTCCACGTTTACTGTCTCCACTT